GATGAATCTGTTTACGGTGGAGCAGCTAGAACTAATCAGACGACTACGCTTAACGGGTATTACACCTGAAGCTGTTCTTGAGGTAAACTTTTTCTCAAATCTTTTAGACTTCATATTATTTCTTGTGATAGAAATTTCTTTTTCAACCAGTTTTATCTGTTAGCTATAAACGTAGCGCTACCATCGAGAACTATACCGTACTGGACAAAAAATAATAACGCGCTGTATCTATCGGGAATGTTCGGTTCTTAATCCTAAATCACTCTCAATACATTCGATAACGACTATCAACGTTTTCAAATATCGAGTGGTACAAATTCAATATCACCAACATCTTTAAGTGTTACTGTTTCAATCTTACACCCCAATATCTTTCTGCTTTGTGCTACTAGCTTCATAATAATTTTTGACTGGAAAACTAAAAACTGCTTAATAACAATTGCCTCTCTGAATTCATATGTTGCAACCAACCTTTCAGTCCCAGTCTTTCGGAGCATCGATGAAAAAAAGCAGAAGAGTCAGTGAAAGCCGCCAAAACTTCTGGGAAAATATATCGTGAGCCTGTTTTTTGAGTGCTTACAACAAAATTACTTAGCTGTGCTATCCAAAATTGTTAATTTGCTTTAGTAATAGTAGAAAAAAGCCTATCACGTCGTCTGAAAAATAGAGAAGCTATAAATTGAAGCAATTAACTTCAAATACACTCAAGGAGCAAACTTCTCCAATTACCAAATTTCAAAATTTTGATTTAACAGTATATGAGAAAGCACCAACTTTTACTTTCTTACGTACTGTCGCGCTCACTTGAACAAGGTAGTTCAAGAAGGTCAAAAAAATAAAACTTTTTCCAAAAACTCATAGACGGGAAATCATTATTTTTCCTAATCCAAAATCAATATTATTCTTTCAAAATCTTTGATATTCGGCTATTTAAATAAGGCTGTCAATTTTTCTATTGTGTCAGTAATTTTATTATGATATATATTGGAAAAATGTAGGCATATATAAATGTATTTTAGGATAAATTGTAGGAGAAGCTTTAAAGACTTGGAACTTTTTCCAGAAAATGTAGAAGTTTTAGTATTTAAACTCATTTAATTTCTTCAAGATAAACAAAACATATTGCTAAAGATCATGCTGGATTCATTTTTTAAACAACAATTCCACATAATTTCCATTCACTTTATCTTATTGTTTTCTACGTTGTACAAATTCTCAATACCAATCAATCACTTCGGTTTGTTACACAGTAATTTTACTTCAGTAATTAATCACCACTGTACTTTTCAAGGATTGTTAAATTGTAATCTTGCTGGGCATACCTGTTAACCACTTATACCTTCAAATACTTCAAAAAAAAAAAGAGAAAGGATGCAGCTTCTTTTCCGGTTATATGCACATATATTTTGAACAAATATGTGCATATTTTATCAATATATTACAGGAACTCTTCAGAAATTAATGAACTTTCTCATAATTTAGATGTATCTCATACTTTATTGCACAAAATCTAACATATATGGAAGGGATAAAGCAGCAATGATTAAGATAAGATCACAATTCATTGATAAGGAGAGTGAAGGGTATCAGTTCAGTATCTTCTTGCTTGTCAATACGATAACACGGATCTAACCATGCATTTTTTTTTTTTATTGACGTATTCATTCTTATCCTAAAAATAATGAAAATTATGGGGGAAATGAATTATGATTTATTACTGGTAAAGGGAGGGAAAAGCAAAGATTTGAGTGGATGTCAAGGACTGATATGAAAAATATCTGAACTGATTGGTATTAGAACCAAGTGAGTGTGTAAGCCTTGTTTTATTGCTTTGCTTTGAGCAGAAAATGATATTAAATTAAAAACTATTCAATAAAGCAGTTTATACTAAATTGATTTGATAAGAGTTAAGAAATAGAAATAAGGCTGCTGTTACTTTTCAAACTGCTAAAATTATTTAGAGTCGTTTATTCTGAGTTGACAATTAACTAGCTGAGCTTAAAACACCTGTCGTTCACTTATATGCTCCCAGTAACTTTGAACTTGTATTGAATATAACTGTGTTACGTGTTTGCTTTTAACAAGTATTCTATTGCATAAAGTAAAGACTTTAAGCAGTATTTCATCTGATAAGCAAAGATGATCAGAAATTTGCTGAAGGCGTTTGGAAGAAGTTGATATCTTGTCTGAACTGAGTTAGAATGACCTTTAAGGTATATTTGAACGCTTCTAAGATTTTGATTTCCAAATTATTTCCTTTCCTTTCTAATCGCGGTTTTTATATGTGCTTTATGTTCACTCTGCTTTCTGATCTGAAATCACTCTTTGTTTCATTTCTATCAAAAGTATTTCTTATACAAAATTACTTTTATTAAGTGTACAATCAGAGTTCTCTAGTAATCAATTAAACTGGGAAATCCTTTTCAACAGTCAGTTAGTCTACACAATTTTAACATCTTAGATGATCATATTAATGAAGATAAGTTTGCAGGCATTTAGGGCACTAGAACAAATAGAAGCAGATTTGGATGCAGCCCGAATTCAGACAGCAGCTTTGGCAGCTCTCATTGCACCGGCCACAAAGATGTTCCAATTCGATGATGGTGCCAATACTTTCGAATTAAGCAGTCCGATCTTGTTGCAACATCTCAGAAATCAGGTTTTTCTTCTTTTTAAGCAGATGCTGATGTAATTCATTCTAACAAGAAAAATCAAACCTCTTAGCAAACTATAATTTAGAGTTTCAAGTGTGAAATGGCCAAGTTAGCCTTAATATTTTCAAAATAAACCTCTTGTTTCGACATTAGCCTTTATGAACAAAATGAATAGTTTTTGCAGAAGATTAAAAATGAAAAAAAGAACTCAGATAAAAAATTAAACTCAATTTTTAATTACCATATAACAGCAATAACCAGCTCTCACTTACTTGTTGCTGATTCTGTTCTTGACAAGTGGTGATAAAAGCTAACTTTTTCCATCTATTATTTTCATCCCTTTTATTGTTTTTCATTTTTTCCTCTCCATTGTTTTTAATTCCTAGTTTTAATAATCATCTTATCTAGGCAGTTTAATATTTCATCTTAAGGAAGATAGAACAGGATAAATCCATTCTTCATCACTATCATTTCTACAACTTCTTTTTCCTTCGTTACTTTTTCTTTTTCACTTAATATATGAAATTTTCAAAGAAGGATGACCAACTGCTTACTTTAGGTATTTTATTCAATAAATTAATTGCATTAATAAGTATCTAAAAGATATTTTGATCTCGTCTAACAATGCTGCAGACTGATTCTACTAACTCTTCAGATTCTGGCGATAGATTCATTTTTGGATTAGCAATAAAATATAAGATTAATGAAGAAAGTTGTGGAACACAATGATACTGCTGTGCAGCTTTTTTTTGTTAGCGTTTTGCTTAATTTTCATAATAAAAAATCGATCTATCTTTCTTCCACCTTACAGTATCTAATCCATTTTGAAGACTTCCTTTCTTTTAATCCCTTTCTTTTAATATCAAATCATCAGAATCATTCAAAACAAAAAGTACACTTCTCATTTTTGAAAAGAGAATTTTTCTTTGTTAAATTTACACTTTATTCATTTATTTTTCAAGAATTCGACATTTTACAAAAACGTATTTACTCCACTAGAATTCTCTATTCACTTCAGTTGAAAAATATCGATGAAATTATTAAAAAATAATTCTGCAAGAAGTGGCTTCTTTCTTTAACTTATGTCCTCAATTATTTAAGATTAATTTAGTTCATAAAATAAATTTAACCAAACTAATTTATTTTCGGGCAAAAACGACTCCAAAATTTAAATGAATTATGAGTGAAGTCAATATAAAAACAACAATGAATACAAATCTTTCTAAAATTTGAAGAAGTACTAAAAACGCTTTCTACGATAGAGGAAACAATTTTAAGAATGCTTGCCTCAGTTTTTATATCTTATTAATAAAGTTAATGATTGCTTTTGCATTGTTGTCACTGATTTCCAATCTCTCAGTTTGACCATTTCTTTGTTTCAGTATTCTGTTTATCTGATTTCCACTTTTATCATTTTTTCCTGTTGCAAAAATGATAGATAGATTTTTCTTGCTTTTCATAGAAATTAAAAGGATTATCTAGCTAAATTCTTTACTAGCCGAAGTAAGGGAAACTGAATTTTGCTGATGAGCGATAGTCATCATGTATTAGAATTGATAGCACAGATATTGGATGTCAGAGAGTAACATTTCCAGTCCAGTGTGACTGGTTCAGTCATCAACGTTTTTCATTAAGCTAAGTTAGACTTATAACAAAATTATTACTGATTTTTAGCTTGCAGCCATAGAGTCAGTGGCTGAAGAAATTGCTCTAATTGATCTTTTTCTTTTCTAAACTGTTATTTTCTCGTTTGGATTTGTGATAGCACAGTAAAAGTTTATCAAATCTTACACATTTACGTATTTTGTCAAAAAACTCATTGTTAAAAACATGTTGGGAGAAAAGGAAGAGGCTTTTTTGGGTACACAATTCTTTCTTTACTTATCACGAAGATAATTTCTTTTGCTCTTCATCTTCCTCCTTTCCTTCTCATCATCCCATACACGCTTCTTGTCTTCTCGATCGTGGTCAGTGACACCTGCATTTGATGTGAATTAATTACTTTCTTCCTTCATATAATCAATCTTGATATCAACTGCAGAAACATTTCTTGTCGAAAATGTACTTTCAGATTTACTATGTCGAAGGACGATTTTTATTTCGACTGTTCTTCTTTTCCCTTAATTTTTCCACTTGGTAGTATCAGGAAGGGAACAGCGAATAGAAGTTTCTTTCTTGTAATATACGAACAGTGATATTGTAGTGGACGGAATGGATAAAAAAAATTGAATTCTAAGGTATTTGGTGGCAGTAGTCTCCGGATTACAATATATAAACCTTCCTATTTTCAACGTGCTTGAGTCTTCAGTTGCTGATATTCTTTGGTACTTGATCTCATTAACTTTTCTAGGCTCCAGTACCTGTTACTATAAATGCATCATCTTCTCCGTCTCTGCCAACTACGTCACCAGACCGATGTGCTGTCCAGAATTCTTTACCTCTTTCAACAACTGCGAGTGGCACGACATCCACCAGTGCAAACGATGCGGCAACATCAGTGGTAGCTACTGCTACAGCTCCGATACCTCCTGCTTGCATTCTCGGACAGTATAATTTCGAAGGTTCTTCGCCTTCTAACTGTCGACCGATCCGTTCGCAAAGGACACCGATGCGTGAAATTACAACTTTAGATGACCCTAGTGAATTGGATGAATTCATGCAGCAGGGCGAAGAAGCGTGCATACTGGATATGAAAAAGTTTATCACACAATTTTCACTTAGGCAGACTACAGTTGCTATGATGACGGGTTAGCTTACACAGATTTTCAGTAATATTGCTTTCGGTGGAACTAATTCAAACGTGTAAAGTTCCATTAAGTCACCTTCCATGTTAATTTTAATTAAAAACAGTGCTTGATCCAACATTGATCCTTATACCTTAATTTTTTTTTCTAATAATATTACTTAATAATTACTTTCCAAAATTCAGGAGTTTCACAGCCATACATTTCAAAACTGCTCAATGGTAATCATCGTGAATTGTCGCTACGTTGTCGAAAAAATATATATTCTTGGTATCTGAATTGTAGGCGGCATCCAGAGAAACTTTGTAAGTCGAGTTTAATATAAAATCCACTAACCTTTTTAGTCTGCAATTGCAGTTAGTAATTAGATTCAAAAAACTTGAAAAAATCCTTTTTCAGCTTCTTTCCTTGCCGATCCATCCACTCGTTTGGAGACAAATGGTGATGGTGAATTGATCCCGCAACGTCGTGAACGATATGTTTTTCGTCCGATTTTAATCAGAATTTTAGAGGGTTTCTTTGCTCAGACACCATTTCCAGATTTAAATCGTCGAATCGAGATTGCTACTGCCTGTAATCAGGCATTACAGATAGATAAGAAAGGTATGTTAGAAAAATCATTGTTAGTGTTATGTTATTTTACACATTTTTCACATTTGACTAATTGCTTTGTAGATAAGTTATTCGAATTCAGGCTTGAAAGATACTATCTGTAGGGGTTGGATTGATGCCAAAGGAAGTAGTATCACCACAAGTTGTTGCAAACTGGTTTGCCAACAAGCGAAAGGAGTTGCGACGGCGTTCTAATGATGAGTGTAATGAGGCTAATAATGCGAATCTGTCACAAGTCGTAAGCTAATCTTGTATATTTTTTTGTGTTCTAAAATTATTGTTTTAACGTCGTTTTATAAAGGAAAAAGAGAAAAATAGGTGAAATTTTGAGAAAAAAGTTATAAAGGAATGAATTTCATTTCCGCACGAATTTACTTTTTGATAGCGATGTTTACCTACCAGAGAGTCGAATTTGAGTTCATAGAAATCTTTTTCCCTTGAAGAAAGTATATTTTCAGAGCTCACCTGATGCTATTTCATCACCATCACCAACAGCTAGTATATCAAATACACCAATGGAGACAGATCGAATAGGTCTGGACGACCGAATCGTTGCATCGATAGCTACCTCCGTTCCTATATCCGTCCCAGCTGTCCGACCAGGAAACAGTCCAATTGAAATCGAAACAAGCCTTTTCTCATCGTTTGCGCATCAACAACAGACAACGCTTGTGCAAACGTTGACGAATCCAAATAATTTTTGTCCTAAACCAGATCCAGAATCACCTATATCAGCGGCGTTACCAATTGCATCAACTAATTGTACTAATACAGATGATACGGGTCGTGATTCGGTAGATCCAACAGTGCAGCAGTTGCAACAACCGTCGGATGGATCAACATCTTCAGCAGGTCAATGCTTAGCAGAAATACAATGCCAGTTAGATCTGGTGAATAATTCGGTATTGGCATTAGTAAACCCATACAATAATCAAATCCACAGTTCGGTTATAAAGGTTGAACAAACTGCTGAATGATAATTAGAAGATTCATCTTCTACTGAATTGAATAAATTTCTTTCTGAATTTATTTCCTTTTCTGAATTATTTTATCCAACCTCTAAAGCATATTGAATTACATCTTTTTTTCATAGATAAAAATCACTTTCGATCGACCCCAATTTGGTCATCCTTTTAAATTTTCTGAGTGGTCGTAACTGAGGATATTGATGCTTTTATCTAGATTTTTTTATGGCCTGCTTTTAGCAATTTACTGAGAGGAAGCGCAAATTTCAAAAATTTTCTTTAAAAATTCATTTACTGCTATACCTGCCATGATTGCCATGATTTTGTTTTTCTTTTTTCCTTTGCTTTGTTGTTGCTTTGTGTTATCACCAAATCTATTTACAAGAAGAATTTCGTAGATGTGCATAATCAGTGATTTTATTAGGATAATGATGGATTCGTAAATGCTGTCGATGATTATTACAAGTCTGCGTACGCTTTTTGGTTCAAATAGTTTCCGAATTTTTAGTTTAAATTTCCGCTAATTTTCATCATGATTTGTTTTATCAACCTTCTTCATTCAATTAATTTCTTACAAAATACTTGACGATCCACAAAGACCATCTTTTTCAGCAGATTATGCTAGCAGTTTAATTTGTTCTTATCTCCGATTCATGTCTCGTCTGGTAGACCTTTAGCATTTTTTCGTAACAAAGATATAATGATTCATGATTCACTAAACTTGGTATTAAATTCCAGATGTGCAAAGTGGAAAGTTCCTACACTTCAGTTACTTCTCGTTTCATACTTTCAAAGTACACTCTTGAAGGCGTACAAGCTAAATGCAAATTAAAAATTCATTTCATTCCTCATTAAAAGCTTGTTATTTCTTAAGGAGATGAATACAAGGAACATTTTCACAATTTATACATTTTCTCTTCTTCAGTAGTTGACTTCTTATGAGTGCTATATACAGTTTGATGTATTCATTTCTTCATAATTTGACACCTCCAATATTCAAAATTTGTTGCTGTTGGACAGGGTTTGTGATTTAATATTTATCATTGATATTTGATATAAAAAGTCATTGTTTTCTTACTACCATTTGTTGTCACTCATTCAATTCGATTTTTTCTCTTTTTTTTTTTTTGAAATAACGAAATAGAACGTCGAATAACCACTTCTGAAATATTTTAAAATTGCTTCTAACTTGCTGCAATGAGGTAACAAGTATTTAATGTCTAAATCATATTTAACTCAGTCATATTCGAATTGCAGAGTATATGTGAATTTTATGTGTGACTTGATTGAGGTGTTGTTGTGCACATTGGTTTATCCGATTTGTTCATACGCGTATTTCTTTTACTTTTTATGTTTTTGTGAATAACTGTGCTCGGGTTTTTAAATTTTAACTTTTATGTAAATTTAATTCGGTTACACTTCTGACTTTTTTATTTCATTTTGCTGTGCTTACTTATATCAAAACAAAATTATTATGCGAATTGAAGTAATTATACAAATAAACATAAAATATTTTTAAAAAAACCGAAAAATAAGGTAGTGATAATTTGCTTTGTAAATAAAAAACTTGTGAAATTCGGAATAACGAAACAGAGAACAAGCTTGCAGTGATAAACTGGGCCGATTTAAGTTAGGTTATCTTAAATGTAGATTTGCAGAGGAAACGAAATGAAGTAATTTGTTTAAGCGTAGATAAACGATAATTATTAATATAACCTGGAAATTTCTGATTTTTTGTATTTCGATATTATAAGAATAAAAGTGATTAAGAAGATAGCAACATAATAGCAAATATAACTGAAAGGATTTGGAAGCTATAATCAAACGAAGACTTCATCGAATGTTCATTTAAAGAACATTTGAAAACTGAGTAGAAGATTGACAACTTACTGTTACTGTCATATCTTCAAATCAAATTTTAAAAATGAGATGAACAAATCTGTGTCAGAAGAAACTTTCTGGATGAAGCTTCTCTTTTTCCCTTATATCTATCCAAACACAAGCATTTTTATCGAAGCATACTATCAACTGCATATCGAGGACTATTCAAGGAAAATTTAAATAGATCGATTGTGTATGTAATACGTTATAATTACTACACTGCTTAGATTACTTGGAGAAACAAAAAAGCAGGAAAAAATGTATTTACGGTCGAATCGGATTACTGATTTCATATTGATTATTCGAGCTAATCGTATCGTTCATAATATTAGCATGAATACAATAAACAGTGACAATAAAACATGGAAAACCAAATATAGTTAAGACGAAAGTGGTTGAAATTAAATACTGTTATTTTCTATTTCTTTTTTGCATAGTTACTTATAAGGTGTTTTTCATTTCCCACTGTTTACTTGAATTTATAAATTTTTAAGGAACAGGAGATTGAAAGTTGTTTGATAGATTGAAGATTGGGATGAAGATAAGCTTTTTCCTGATAAGTGTTGATGAAGAAATGAACAGATACATCCAACTGTGATGCAAAAAAACTTAATGGCAAAGAAATTTCTTAAGTTATCATCATGGCTTGAATGTTAAGTTTTACCTTTCAGCTCTACTGCAATTACTTCGACCATCCATTACTTTCTTCATGACACTTTTCCTGACTGATTCAATAAAGCCATATACTTCCATACTGTTTAATTGCTTTGTTTGATGTGAAGTATCGAGTTGGCTATTCCATAAAACCCAAATATTAATATCTCGAAAGATTTAAATTTACAGTGAAGCCTATAAACAATGTAACTCCTTGCATTTGGATAATCATTGCAAATAGAAGTTAAATAAATTAAGAGCAGTGAAATCTTTTCATTTCTTCATATAATTGCAGAATATTTTATCAAATTCTGACACATTTTGGCACACACAAATTTTTTGGAACTACTAAATTCAGGAAGAAAATTTTGAAATAGTTTGGTTCCGATATTTAGCTGATCATTATGATTATATTGGATTGAAGAAATAAATTGGAATTACCTTTCTCCTTTTTTGTTCTGTTAGTTCATAATGCGCCGTTTTGTTATTGTTAGTAATGTTCTACCTTTCGATGGCGCTTTTTTTTTTTTTGTTTTGTTTTTTTTCTTTTTTCTTTTTGCATTACAGGTTTAATTGTTTCCTACAAAAGTTTTGATAATCAGTAGAATTGCGAAGTCTCTTAAGGTGGTGATTTTGAATAGTGCATTAGAGGTATTTCTGACAAAGTATTCAGTAGTTTCAGTAAATTAGTTCAAATACATAAGTATATTGTATAAAATTAAAATATGCATTGTAATGAAGCTGGATAGCCAAAAAAGAAAATTATTCATGGAACTAGCAGTTCTTGACAAGCTAGAAATTGCTAGAAACCATTGAAAAGCAGTGA